GTCTTGGATTGAGTTCCACGCCACTGGCCTCTGCCAATCCCAGCCTTGGCTATTATGGGTATTTGGGGAATGAATATTTCTCTCCCCCTCTGTCTGTCTGCCTTTAAAATAAAATGAAAATATGTTAAAAAATGTACAAAGTCACTGACTTGCACATGTGAAAGCATGGATTTATGTTATGTAAATTATACTTAAAAAAAAATTAGCCAGGAATTTTGGCTTGAGTAACAGCAGTGTAGCCATGTTTTACAGAGAAAGATGAGTGGGGCTTAAACTAGATGTGGCAGGATGGGTGATCTTGTGTTGTTTGGATCCAACGGGAAAAACCAAGGTGGAAGTTTAAGTACTAAATGCTGGAGACATCTGACACTTTCTAAAGAATTTTTGATTACCATTAATAGGGTGTGTTACTAGTAACTTGCCGGGATCCATGCAGTAGATGTGAACAGCACGAAGGTATGAAGAGAACAGCTCTCTGCTTGGCAGGGCCCAGGGCAGCTTCCAGCTGTTTGGCCGGGTCCAGCGGATGTCTCTCTGACTACCTTGACGCAGTCTCACCCCCTTTTTGCACGGACACTCACCCACCCCACTAAGAATTGTGTAATCTATTGAGGCATCGTTTGCCCCTGTGAGATGGCTTTGGCCACCAACGTGAGCTTTGAGAATTAATGTTATTGATAATGTCTTGGTGAGTGGGCCTTTAACTGCGCACAGGAGTACAATTAAACCCATGCCATTTCTGGATACCTTATTGTGTGCCTACCCATTGCCATAAAATCTGGCCCAGACATATATGGCTTGATAAGAATTTTACAAATGAATGGATGTGATGGGAGTATAGACTGAAATTGCTACGACAAAAAAATACAGCTACTGTGACCCTAAAGGCTGAGCTTGCAGGCCTAATGGCCAACTAATATCAATGACCCAATCTCCATAAACCAAGGCCCCCGACTTATTAACCCATAGATAATTTAAGATAGCGGTCTAGTTGTCACAGGTGGCACCAAGGTTAGAGCCCAGACTTGAGGAGAGCAGGTGGGGGCCGGCAGGCCGAAATAAGCAAGGAATGTGTAATCCTCCCCCATTCATCTCTCAAGCTGTTATAAATTGTGCCCCACTTGAGGCTATGTCAAACTGCCCCTGAAACAAAACTTTGTATTGGTTCTGTATAAATAAAGAGGACAGCTCGAACATGGCTGGAGCTGGACTCCGGCAGTAGCTGGCAGAAGAATTCAGCGATGCTGCTCAAGGATCCTATAATAAATAGAACAACCCCCACAACAAAACTTTTCCAGCTCAAAATACCAGTAGGATGACTGGAACAATCCTGATTTGGGCTATGAAAGTCATAAATAATATTGTGATTTGAAAAACCCATTAAACTCCAGTTTTGATTTGGGGATTTCTTTCACATCCTTCTATTTATCTAAATTGTAACATTATTTGCCAGGCATTTTATGGCACTGCAAACAGAAAGATGAGTTAGCAAAGGATTTAAAAGTTAAGGAGCTTACGTTTCAAGAGGGAAGACAGAAGAAGGTGCAGATCCAGATGGTCTTCGGCTCATTTCCCCTCTCTTATTATTATTATAATTTGAAAGGTGAGTTAGAGAAAAAACACATACAAACACAGGGAAGCTGGTGAGGAAGACAGGGAGAGAGAGATCTTCCATCTGCTGGTTCACTCTATAAATGCCTGCAACAGCTGGAACTGAGCTGATCCAAGGGACCCAAGGACTTCAGCCATCTTCTACTGCCTTCCCACGACTGGAACCAGACTGGAAGTGGAGCAGCCATGACTCAACTGGTGCGCCAGTGGGATGCTGCACACCACTGGCAGAAGCTTAGCCTGCTATGCCTTGCCAGCTCTTCCTCTATCTTTTGATGGCTGAACAAGGAGATGGCTAAGCAAGGTAGAGACTATACAGGTAGATGTATATCTACCTGTCTCAAATATTAGAACTATCTGCTCACTTCATCAAACATTCTTTTAAGTATTTTATATGACTGAGGATATTATAAATTATATAATTATTCTTTCAATATTTTGGGCATGTATTTTCCTCAGTTTAACTGAGGGCTTCAATTTTTGTTTATGATACTTTACTAAGAAATTTTTAAAAAGATTTATTTATTTTTATTGGAAAGGCAGATATACAGAAAGGAGGAAAGAAGAGAGGAAGATCTTCTGTCTGATGGTTCATTACGCAAGCAGCTGAAATGGCTGGAACTGATTAGATCCGAAGCCAGGAGTCCAGAGTCTCTTCCAGGTCTCCCACGCAGGTGCAGGGTCCCCAGGCTTTGGGCTGTCCCCTACTGCTTTCCCAGGCCACAAGCAGGGAGCAGGATGGGAAGCGGGGCTGCCAGGACTAGAAATGGCGCCCATAAGGAATCCTGGCGCATGCAAGGTGAGGACTTCAGCCAGTAGGCTTCCATGCTAACTCCCTAGCCCCATTTAAAAAAAAAGATTTATTTTTTTAAATTGGAAAGTCAGATATACAGAGAGGAAGCATTTTGAGATAGATTTTAAAAAATCAAGTGAAAGTTCTCATTTAAAAGACAGTAATGGGTAGTGCATATTCTTAAAGATTAATTCTCTTATATGAAGGAGAGAACAACAAAGACAGGAAGAGACAGAGAAGGAGAGAGAGAGAACAAGCATGGGCTTCCATTGTTGGTTTGGCCTACAAAAGGCCTGGTCTAGGCTAAAGCCAAAGGGCACAGTTTTAAAAAGTAAGTAAAAATTACATTTAAAAAGACTGAAAGTAGTCAACAAGTATAGAAATGGGTAAAGCAACAGTGATTGTTTCATAATCTTGCTCCCCCAAAGAGAAGTTAATTTGATATACTTGCTATTACATTTTCATTAATGAAATTTATTCATTTAACTGTGTGTAAATAATACTATTATTTATAAAGATTCATTTTCATCAGTAAGCTAAGGTTTTTGTTTTTGGCAATGTGATGATAAACTGCAAAATGTGTATCTGGAAACTGCAAAGTAACATTTGTCTTTTTTATATGTTAATGATTTGGTTGAAGGTATCCAACTGCTACATACCTTCCGGATGGAGCTGCAGTCACTGGAAGACCAAGGCAGGATTGGACTGTTAGGACGGCTTCCCTGGGCAGGAGAATGGGGCTGAAGGCTGAGGGGATCACGAGTTCTCAACGCTGTAAACATCTGTGCTGATCTGGCAGTCTGTGTGACAGCCTAAAGGACTGGGCTCGGGAGCTTCTCAAGAACTGAACACCTGGAGGTCATTGGAGGGTGGTGAACTCCCAAGAGCATGGGATACCATGCTCCTTCCCACATGGACTTGTCCAACAGGGAGCATACCCAGAGTGTATGTCTTGAACTATAATAAAACAATAAATGAAAGTGTTTCCTCGAGTTTTGTGAATTGCTAAAGAAAATTAGATGAAGGAGTTATGGGAATCTGAATTTTTAGCCATGACTTGGTCAGAAGCACAGATGGCACGATCTGGGCTGGTGGTTAGCATTTGAAATGCAGAAGAGGCAGTTTAATAGGACTGAGCGCCCTCTACTTGTGAAATTTGATACTATCTCTAGGCAGGGGCATAACACCAACTGAACTGGAGGAGCCAAGCTAGTGACCATTTCATAACTTGAGTGTTTGCCTGCTAGCAGAGAAAAGCAGCACATGTCTTGAGGATAGGGAAGTCTTTTACATGGAACTTTGTGCTGTGACAGCAGAGGAAAAACTTTTTGCTACACAGGTGTCCTAGCTCTGCTTGAATTATAATAGCTTTATGAAATGAAATATCTTCATCTTATTTTCCTTTATTAGGGAATAGCTTAGGCGGCAACAGTATTATCTACACTTGAAAGTCCAAAATTAACTGATATAAGATAAAATCATCTGCTCCTGAGGCCCTTTTTTACAGAGTTTCATATGCACATGGACAAAAATGTATATATGTAACTTGCTTAGATTCCTTATATTTTAATTTTCAGTTTCTTCCGTTTTCTTTGACAGTGGTATATAAAAGCATTGGCTGTAACTGTACAGCCAACTTCTCAAACCTTTAAGCCATTTTCCGACCACCCCCCCGACATGTATTTAGTGTTTGAAAGGTAGAGTTAGAGAAAAAGGGAGAAAGAGAAGGACGGAGGGAGGAAAAAAGGGAAGAGGAGAGAAACCAATCTGAGAGCCAGAGAGCTTATCTTTACTGGCTCCCTCCCCAACTCACTGTAACAGCTGGGGATAGGCCAGGCCAAAGACAGGAGCCTGCACTCCATGCCTGTCTCCCACAAGGGTGCAGGGGCCCAGGCATTTGCAACATCTTCTGATGCCTTCCCTGGGACGTTCAGCAGAGAACTGGAGCAGAGGTGGAACAGAGGAGACTTGAGCTTGCACTCACATGGGATGCTGGCATGACCGTAGCCCTAGCCCTAGCTAGCTCTCTCTTAGGAAAAGGTTTTATACTGAAGCAGCAATGAGAAGTTCACCAATTGTCAAAAGCAGATGACCTTTGCTCAGGTTTATATACCTAGACAGCATATTTCTTTATTATTTAAATGTATAACTAGATTTTTCCCCTTATGTTCATATATCCAAAAGCCTATGTTTTCAGTGTCTATTTCACATGTTGAACAACTGGGAGTAGTTGAGATTGCAGTATTCATTAATTGTATTCCTAATTTCTACTTCTATCTTATATAATGAGTTTAACTAATTTATCCCTTGGCTCTTTTTTTTTTTTTCAAGGTAACTCAAGTAATTTCTCCTAATCTCAATTACTTCAACTGAAAAATGAAGACAATGAGTTGGCACCATCACAACAGGAATTTATGAATAATTATGTATTAGCATTTGTTTGAGGACCTCTTATAACCTGCATAAATCTACTGAAAGAACAAGAGTATATAAAAAGATTTTATTAAATAGTCAAAAAAAGTTGTCACCAGTTGACCTTAACCATATACTGACCAAAGGTCCCTCTCTATATTCCGTACGTTGTACGTAGTCTTACCTGAGCCATTTTTCAGATATCCGTTTGCGTCTACAGTTGTATACATGATATAAGGTCCTGGCTGATTCACGCCAAAGGGCTGCAAAAAAGAAAAAAAAAGTTAAACCTTGGAAAGTAAGTGAATGACTTAAAGTTTTAGGAAAATACATTTTAAATAAAGAAGAACCTTCTTACAACTAAATATTACACAGATGAATATTCCTTAAAGAACATGAAGAGACACAGATTCAAAAGAAAATTCAACTAACAGAAAATTACTAATTAGAGGTTTGATATTTGTATTCATTTAGCTTATTGTTTTAACTAGGTATTTCTAAGGGCTAATATAATGTTGTGTGTGTGTGTGTGTGTGTGTATGTGTGTGTCTGTCTGGCTATCTGTGTGTCTTAAGTTTACATATTTTACTTGAAAGCAGTAGATCTACAAAGAGAGACAGAGTTTCCATCTGCTGGTCTACTGGATGAACCGAACTGAAGCTGGCAGCCATAGGTTGGCTGGTTTGTTTTTTGAAGATTGTGTGTTCTTTATAAGGGTGAATATTTTAAGTGAAAATTTTGAATCATTTGCAGTTCTGTTGAGAACTGAACTACAACAGTGTTATTATGACATTTCTGTTGAATACAGCATTGCTTTTGCCTTCAGGGAAGGAAAATCAGATTTTTCCAATAAAATATCAAAATAAATAAAATACGTCCACAATAACTGCAGCACAATAAAAAATACACATGATTAGTTTTGCCACATTTAATCTGCTACATATACAGAATACATCATGTTCCAGTTCACAAACATCTGACAGTTATCAAACTATCAGATCAGACTATCACGTCTAATTATAATAAGACTTATCTACAATTTGTATATTGTTTCTTCTTTTTGGAACATGCCTCAATTCATCAATAAAATGCTACATTCCTTCTCTTTAGAAATCAAGACTGATTACATAGCATATAAAGAAATCTACGATTGCATTGATTTAGGAAATACTTTAAAATTGTTTGAAAGGTTTTTCAATTGTTTTATGATACAGTTCCATAGGCCCTGGAATTTCCCTTGCCCCTCCCTCAGTCCCCTCCACCCTTACTGATTTCCAGCATTACAATGGGTGTTCCCTCATTAATAGTCATAACTCCATCATTCTGCTACTGAAGTGTATCCCAATGTTGTAGGCATGGACAATGTCGGAGAGTTCAGCATTCTGTCAGGATATTTTCAGTTGTTTCACTGGAAGTCCATCTTTGGTCTGGATGCAGAGAGACATACTGCACTAAATATGGAACGCCTCATGAATTTGTGTGTAATCCTTGTGCAGGCACCATGCTAATTTTCTTGTATCATGCCAATTTTACTCTACACGCTGCCAAAGTGAGCGCAATTTTCTAAGACCTTTTGACAAAAATGTTAGCCAATAAGGTGCAGAAGTTAATGATATTTAAATAGGCTACTGATGTTCTAAATATGATTTTCATCCATGAGAGGCAAGAAACAATGATTTTTTGTTATTACAATACCTGCCTGATATTTTAAGAATTGTAGAAATTCATATGCTTATAATGGTCATGAGAAAACAGGCTGCTTTAAGGATGCAATTCTTCATAAGACTATTACTAACCGATTAGAACTATCATATTACTAACTGAAGAAAAGATTTGTGAAGAAATACACAAAGCATTGAAAATAATTCAGTCATGAAGAATTTTTGCATATGAGATGAATATTACATTTTGTGTTGCTACATAAAACTTTCATGGAAAATACTAAAATTTTATATCTATATTCCTGTGTCACAAAGGAACAAGAAAAAGCATGTTCTTTGGCTGTCCAGTTATTTGGGGGGGGTGGCTTAAAGATTTATTCTTATTTAAAAGCCAGAATTAGAAAGAAGGAGAAAGAGAGAGAGAGAGAAATAATCCTCCATGTGCTGGCTAACTCCCTAAATGATTGCAGTGGACAGGGCTGAGCTGCTTTGAAGCCAGGAGTTTCCTCTTGGTCTCAAATGTGGGTGTGGGGGTCCAAGCATCTGGGTAATGTTTTGCTGCTTTCCCCGGCAAAAACGCAGGTAGCTGGATGGGAAGTGGAGCAGCTGGGACAGGAACCGGTGCCCACATGGGATGCTGGTACTATAAGTGGACAAGTAACCTGCTACGGGATTGCACTGGCCCCATAGGTGTCCAGTTTTAAAGAATCACAGATATCTAGACAGAAATTAAGCTATCTTCTTCATGCAACTGTGATATTTTGGGAGTAGTTTTAATCCTAAAAATATTCTACAACATATTTCAGTTACACTTTTTTACCAGTGAAATACAAATATATGCATCGATAATACTTCCTTTTTAAATAATTGTGCTGAGACTCACTGCTATAGAGCATCATTGCAGTACAGTTTTCATTCTACTGTTGATTAACAATGGTTTCCATTTTTTTGTGCAACTATAAACATGACAACATTCTTAGATATGGGACCTGATGCATAAATGCAAAAGCTTCAGAGGGTTGGCTACCCAAGCGGTAAAGCTGCTGAGGCATACAATACATGAATCTTCCAATCCTTCAAGCAATGCAAATTTTGTCTTTTCCTAGTGTTACCACCTTATTGCAGTATGTAAGAGGTACCACTGCTTCACATGTTTAGCAACTACCACTTAAATGTGGCATACACTTCATTTTTAAAAAAGATTTATTTTCATTGCAAAGTCAGATACACAGAGAGAAGGACAGATGGGGGGAAGGTCTTTCATCTGTTGACTCACTCCCCAAGTGGCTGCAATGGCTGGGGCTTAGTCAGTCCGAAGTCAGGAGCTAGGAACCTCTTCAAGGTCTCCCATGTGGGTGCAGGTTTTCAAGGCTTTGGGTCATCCTCAGCTGCCCTCCCAGGGCACAGACAGGGAGCTGGATGGGAAATAGGGCCACCAGGATTACAACCAGTGCCCATTTGGGATCCTGGTGTCTGCAAGGCAAGGTCTTAACTGGTAGGCTAGTGCACTGGGCCTGGAATACACTTTTTTTAAACAAAGATTATTTATTTTATTGGAAAGGCAGACGTACAGAGAGGAGAGACAGAGAGGAATTTCCTCCATCCAATGATTCAAACCCCAAGTGAGCTCAACGGCCGGTGCTGCACCGATCTGAAGCCAGGAGCCAGGAACCTCCTCTAGGTCTCCCGCAAGGGTGCAGGGTCCCAAGGCTTTGGGCCGTCCTTGACTGCCTTCCCAGGCCACAAGCAGGGAGCTGGATGGGAAGTGGAGCTGCTGGGATTAGAACCAGCACCCATATGGGATCCTGGCGCATTCAAGGCGAGGACTTTAGCCACTAGGCCACGCTGCCAGGCCCTGGAATATACTTTTTAATAAAAATTGTTTTTGACTTCTCTAGGTTTATTTTGCTGCAAAGAATATGCAAATATGATATCCATATTTTAATCTTGTCTTATTATAGAGAGGCTTGGAGATATTTAGGAGGTTATATTTATCACTGCCTTATAACCTCAAATTTATTTTATTACACATAATCTATTATATATACAGGAAGACAGGTGTAAGGGAAAAGTCACTAAACAGTTTCTTAAAATGAAATAAGAGTTTTGAATTATTTCTTCCAGTTTGAAGTATTCTGCATACATCTCAACTTCTTAATGTGAAAACTAAAAAACTATTTTAGGAGCCTAAACTACGGAAATGTCAGTTAGTAGTGATAACAACAAATCTGTGAAAACAGCAACTTCCTTCTCACACTTCTCCAGAAATAGTTCACTTAGTAATTGCTATGGACTGAATGTCTACATCTGTCAGAATTCATGTCGAGGGCCTGGCAGCATGGCCTAGCGGTTAAAGTCCTCGCCTTGAACGCGCTGGGACCCCATATGGGCACCGGTTCTAATCCCAGCAGCTCCACTTCCCACCCAGCTTCCTGCTTGTGGCCTGGGAAAGCAGTCGAGGATGGCCCAAAGCCTTGGGTCCCTGCACCCGCATGGGAGACCCAAAAGAGGTTCCTGATTCCCGGCTTCAGATAGGCACAGTACCGGCCGTTGTGCTCACTTGGGGAGTGAATCATCGGATGGAGGATCTTCCTCTCTGTCTCTCCTCCTCTCTGTATATCTGACTTTGTAATAAAAATAAATAAATCTTTTAAAAAAAGAATTCATGTTGAAGCCTTCATCTCTATTGTTATTGTATTTGGACATGGGACACTTGAAAAATTTAGTTAGATTAAATCATGATGGGATTAGTGATTTTTTAAAAAGCAGATTTATTTATTTTTATTGAAAGGCAGATAAACAGAGAGGAGGAGAAAGAGAGGAAGATCTCCCATCTGATATTCACTCCACAAGAGGCCACAATGGCTGAAGCTGAGCCAATCTGAAGCCGGCAGCATAGAACCTCCCTGGGGTCTCCTACTTGGGTACAGGTGCAGGGTCCCAAGGAATCAGGCCAACCTCCACTGCTTTCTCAGGCAACAATCAGAGAGCTGGATTGAAGTGGAGCAGCTAGGACACGAACCAGCACCCACATGGGATGCAGGTGGCACAGGGTGGAGGATTATCCTACTGATATGTTTTACTGTTTGTGTTTTCCACATATATGGAGTAAGAAAAAAGGGAGTAAGTATATATGGGCATAATTTCCTAAAAAAATTTACTTGTTTATTTGACAGGCAGGAAGGCAGGCAGACAGGCAGAAGTACTCTATTTTGCTTCATTCTCCAGATGCCTGGAACACCAGGAGTGGGCTAGGCTAAAGCCAGGAGTGGGAACTCGGTCTAGTTTATCATTTGGGTGGAAGTGGCCGAAATAGATGAGCCATCACCTACTTCCTTTTAGAGTGCACACGAGGTGTAAGCTGGGCACTTGAACTGAAACCTAAGAACTCTGAGAAGAGATATAGGCAACCCAACCAGCACTGCACTCATGTGCCGGATACTCATCGCAACTTTTACTAACATATGAAAGTAAAACAATTGTTTTATTAAGTAGATAATATGAGTTCACCAATAGTTCATGAGATATATATTTCTTCCCTATTTACTTTGGCATATAAGCTCTTGATTTGAAGACAAAAAGGTTCAGGATTTTATCCTCATCTGTAAGTGGGAGGAGCAGGTTCTGAGTTTGTGCATTTAGCCATGAACCTGGTTGGCCTTCAAGGGACAGTTTTATTTTAATTTTCCACCACGTTTGAGGATGCTTCTGCGATAGTGCTTCTACATTAGCTGCAACTCCTCAGAGAAAGCTTAAACGCACGCTCATCTCCAGTGAGCTGATGCTGTCATAATTTGTATGCTGCTAAAGCTTTTTATGGCCATCAACCATGGGTCTATGCATACTTTGAGAATGTGAGAGGGGTTTTGTAGCCATCCATTTTCCTGTATATCCAAACATCTGGTTATAGAACATGAAGGAGTTAAAAGAAAAAGCCAATATAGTTTGTATTGCCTGATTAAGATATCCACCCATATTTCTAGCAGGAAAAGAAGGAATGCTAGATTTTAACAACAACAGGAGTAGTGACCAAGATGCGGATGTCTTAAAGAATTATTCTGTATTGGAGCTGGTGCTGCGGCTTGGCAGCTTAAGCTGCGATCTGCATTCCTTATGGGTGCTGGTTCAATCTCCAGTTACTACACTTCTGATTCAGGTCCCGCTAAGGTACCTGGGAAAGCAGTGTCAGATGGCTCACGTGCTTTGGGCGCCTACACACATAAGCAACATTGGGAAGAAGCTCCTGCCTCCAAATCAATGAATGAATATTTTAAGAAAAGGGCTGAACTGCTTTTCCCTTTGCATACACTTCACCCTTTTATTATACTGAGAATAAACAGTATGGTTGTAACAAAACAACAGCTTAAAACTATGGCTAAATGTAAAATTCAGCATTTTCAAAAATGGGTATTAAAACACAGCTAAGTATAAGACATGATGACAAACATTTTGGATTAACTTTGACGGGAAGCGCCTATTACAGCAAACTGAAATCTGATGAGCAGTTTTCCACAGGGTGGGGCACAATTCAGGTTTGCAATCTGGGGCATAAGAATATATCTTTTGTTGAATGATACAAAGTTGAAGTCACATTTGTGCAGACTATACCAGTGAAGAAGGTGCCAGGAATCAACAGTCCTGCAGTGCTACTGTGGTTACCCTATGCCCAGCAACTGACGAGAATTCTGGGTTTGTGTGCCCGAGGCACTCCTTCAATGAGCAGTTTACAGATGGCAGCCAAAGAACTAGGAATAGAGAGAGCTCACAAAAAACAGTTTTAAAGAATCACAAGGAATACGTTCTCCTTGCCTGCCACCACTCCAACTTACATAGGGGAGAATTAAGTTTAAAGTTAAACTGGTGGGGCCAGAGTTGCGGTGCGCTGGCTAAAATTGC